AATTGGGTAGAAAAAGAGCACTAAATCATCCTTTTTTTAAATGGGAGAATTGCCCTGTATCCTGGAGAATGAAGCAAAAGTCTCCAAGCTTGCAAAGTGTACAGAAATGCCCATCAATTTCCCATTTTTAAGTAAATTAAAGTTGAGTTTGAAGACAACAGAGAATTTTTCTCTTTTCTTACACACATTGTCTCAGCACTCCAGAAATCTATAGGCTTTAAAAAAATTACCTAGGTAAATATTAAAATGCTCACTACAATAGAGATACTGGAATAGCCAATGTCTATGCAACAACACTAGTCAATTTCAACGGACATTCATGACCAAGGCGTGAAAAAGGGAAGAGTTGTCAATGAGTCACCAAAGGCACATGTGCCATTTTTAGAGACTGAACAGGAAGAAAATGTCCACGTGTCTGTGAGAGTTGAGGTCCCAGAGGCGGGACTGGCATGGTGAGCTCCTTCCTTTCGGAGGACTCAGTGGGCATTTGCAAAAACTTTTTTGCCAGCTGGTTCCGAAGCCAGTAGTGATTCAGGATGGTGTCAGTGCTCACAATATTTATATGCCAGTCCGTAATTATGTGCCATATCCACGTCATCTCTAGATGTTTTCAGAGTAGCTCGTCCTTCTACCTTTATGACTAAAATAAAACTTGAAAAATATGAATAACTCTCAAGCTGGAAGAAATCTAAGGGATTATTTAATTCAAATCTTTAATGTTATACCTTAGGCGACCCAGGGAAGTTAAGTGATTTCCGGAAGGACACAAAGCTTCTGATTTACAACCATAAAGCCCACCACCAGACTTGTCCTGTGTTTCCTAATGTAACTATTCTAGTCAGGGCCATGGGATGTTAATGTAACGATTTAGTCATGTTAATATCTCAAGTCCAGCTAAATTGCCAGTGTGAAATGACTGGAGTAGATTCAAGCAAAAGCACAGTGTTTTCTCACTTTCTGGGGACACACAGCTTGGTCTTCTTGGAACGGGATTGGATGCCAGAGGGGCCTGGAATGTTCTTTCTCTTGCTCCTGCTTTTTTTTTTTTTTTTAATTAAGATTTTATTTATTCATTTGTCAGAGAGACACACAGAGGCAGGCAGAGGGAGAAGCAGGCTCCCTGCCAGGCAAGGAGCCCGATGCGGGACTCAATCCCAGGACCCTGGGATCATGACCTGAGCTGAAGGCAGACACTTAACCGACTGAGCCACCCAGGTGTCCCTCCTGCTTTGGTTCTTGCTTCCCCTCCTGTTCCCTCACGGTCACACTCTTAACACTTGTCAGGGGCACGTGGCACAGAGGCCTCTCCTCTCTGCTCAGCCTCTATTATCTCTACGGCTCAGCCAAGCTTTCTCTGACCCCAAATGAACTGTGTTTTGGGCCCTTCCCATGCTAAGGGCTAACCGCTTATTATTTATGACCTCAATGAAACTTGAGAAGAACTTTGGGATACAGGTACAAGAATTAGAGTTATCTGTGGTTTGTAGATGAGGTTAGAGAGGTAGCAGGTGGCAAAGCCGTGGTGAGGAACCCTATCTGTCACAGCCTGAAAGTTGTGTGATCTTTGGCAAGTTATGTAAATGCCGTGACTCAGTTTCCTCATCTCTAAAATGGGATGATAGTAAGAGGGACCTCATGAAGTGTTGTTGTGAGTATTAAGGAGGTATCTAACCTACCGGTTTCCGAGACCGATGCCTGTACTACACAATGACCATCTAGATGTGTTATTGTTTGTATCTGCTATCTTATCCCCTCAGCCGCGCTGCCTCTTCTTATACATCTTGCACATGACACATCGTGGCCTGACCCCACATTTGTGACCTCTCTGATCAACTACCTTCCTTGGTTTAAACCGGTACTGCCCAGTATGGTAGCAGCTCAGCACCTTGAGCACTTGAAATGCGGCTGGTCTGGACTGAGGTGCGCCGGAAGTGTAACATACATGCTGGGCATCGAAGACTTCCTGCGCAAAAAGAATGCAAAATACCTCGATAACACTTTTTTGTGTGATTGCCTATGAAATGGTAGTATTTGCGATATATTGAGTTAGATCAATGTGTTACCAGAATAAGTTGCACTTGTTTCTTTACTTTTTAAAAATCTGCCAACGAGAAGAATTTAAACCCCCTACGTGGCTTGCATTATATTCCTATTGGCCAGTGCTGGTGGAGAGACACCGTCTATGTTCTGTGTCCCAGGAGAGGCTGTGGTTCAGCCCTGCCTGCGGAGAGGCTCGCTCGAGATCAGGGGCCTGCTCTGGGACAATCAGCTCTGTGGAGGGACTGGTGCAGGGCCTGCTGCTGGCTCAGTGGAGGCTCGGGAGGGGGTGTGGTGGGTAATGGGGGCCATGGCTAGGATAAGCCATCCTCCTGGTATCCAAGGAGAAGTATTACATGGGGGAGTGGCAGGATTATTATGGAGCCATTTATGTTTGCTCTACCCTCTACCCTCTCTAACCTGCTAATTGGCTTTTCAGAACCCCCAGATCAGGGGAGTTCAGGCTGCAGAGCCAAAGCAAAAGTGTTGGTACATTACCCCCCCACCTGTGGTGGATAGATTATGCCAGGTGACCAGGGAGGGGGAGGGAGAGCAAGGAGACTTTGGCCCTGAGACTAGGTGGGGAGTGGAGAAAGGTTAACCATTCTCCCCATAGCGACAGGAATCTGTGCCCCACTTGTGGCCACACCCAGGGGAGGGGGTGACAGAACCTCAGAGAGGAGAGGCCACACAGTGGCTGAAGACTTGAACCCTTCTTTGCTTGGAAACGTCTGAACAAACAGCTTTCAAGTGACCACATCAGGTTAGAAAATTAGGATAATAGCAATGGAAGGCCCTCACCCTCATTTCCTAGGCCTCCCAGATTCCCTTATTACTTAACAGAAGGTCAAGATTTCCTGTTCCTGGTAGGACTGAGGCTTAGAGGAGCCAGATTTAATCAGTTTGATTCCACTCTGCATGGAGGATCCTGGAGTCCTAGGCCAGGGAAGCTCAACCTCCTCTGGGGGTCGTAGGGTACCTTGCCTCCTGTAAACTTGCCATGATAGGCCAAGCAAATTGGCCCTAAAACAAACATTACAGCACTAAGACTGTAGTCTCTAAATGAGTGCTTTCCTTGTTAAGTCATTCACTTCATCAAGATTTCTGGAATGGAGACTAGACCTAACAGTCAGACCATTGCTCTCCCTGGAGCCCCCCACCCCCACTCTGATTCACCCCCACACTGTCCATGCTAGAATTCTCTCTTGGGTACCCTACATTCAGTGAGTCACCAAACCCTACTGAGGCTACCTCCAGATGATCTCCTGAGTCCATCCCTCTGGTCCCCCCACCATCACTGCTCACCCCCCCATTTCTTACTGGCCTGCAATGCAGCAGCCCCCTCCACAGCGCCTCGTCTCTGTCCCTGGCTGTCCGGCTGTTTCCAGAACTGCCTTCACGGAATCCCAGCTGCGTGTCTTGCTGTTCCACTGCTTAAACAGCCCCGGGAGCCCCTTTCTTTCCCACTGGATATGCTTCGACCTCCTCACTCTGACATGCAAATCCCTTCAGAGTCTGGCTGCTTTCCTCCTCCCTTGAAGCCTTCTCTCCAGGCCCACCTCAAACACGTCAGGCCCTGTGCAGGACTCCACGGTCAAGTTTCATAGGTGGAAAACTGAAAACAAGCAAATCGCACAAAAAGCCCTTCAAACAAGTTCTAAGAAAGGGGAGGGCCACAGAGAACTCTGAGGAATCAAATTCCGTTTGGGTTTTTGCTCTGTCGCCTTATTCCAACCCTAGCTTTTCTGAACCCTTTGGCTCAAATGATCTGTGTTCCTTGAAAAGTCCAGATTCTCAAGGTAGCGGATTGGTTGCTGCCCAGTCAATGGATCGCCTCATCTCGGGTAAAGTGGCCATCACTGACTAATTTGTCAGGTGAGATGGGAGGTTGTCATATGGCATGTAGGGGCTCTTCCAAGGGTTGAGATTTGGGTAGATTCTCCAGAGCAGTACTTCCAAGAAGCAGAAATGAACTCCGTGGATCTCCAGGGGTGGGGGTGGGGGGGCGGGCAGGGCTGAGAGTCTACACTGACCTCTAACAAGCTCCTGGGTGATGTTGATGCTGCTGGTCCATGGACCACACTTTGAACAGGGAGACTCTACTGGGACAGTAGTCAGGACACGGAGTAAAAAGTATTCAATACCTTCCTCTTGTTCTAGAATGTTCTCCAGTCTTTATTGCCATAAAAATTCTGCTCACTGTTTCAGGTACAGTTCAGATGTCACTTCTATGAAGGTTTTTGGGCTCTCCTGGAGTTAATCTCCTTTATGATATCCCACTGATCACTTGCCTGATAGCTACTTGTGTGTAGCTGTCACCTCCAGTTTTGTTTATTCTACCTACTTACTTACATACAGTTTTCATTTATGTATGGTTTCGATGTGCAGTCTGAGTCTTAACAAGAATGTACAGATCCAGAAGCGTCGCATCACCCCCAAATTCCCTCGTGCTGCCCTTTGAAGTCCCTCCTTCCCACAACCCCAGCCTCTGGCAACCACTGACCTGTTTCTATTCATATACTTTTGTCTTTTTCAGAATGTTATATTAATAGAATCATACACCATGTAGCCAGGGATGACTTCTTCAGCTCCCATTGACTCAAGAAGCAGAGAACACTGAGATTTGTTTGATTCAGTCATTCTCCCCTTGGGAGGGAAACCAAGATGAAGGCATCTGGCTTTTGTGAAGGATTCCAAAGCCAGTCATGGGCAAAACCAGTTCCGGTTCTCTCTAGTTCTTCACACAGGCTTGAACAGCGTTGGTGTGGAAACCATGTGCGAGTATGAGCATGCAGTCCTAGAGAAAGCCAATGCGATTAAGGCTAGATCTGGACTTTGAGGTACGGCTCCTGTGGGTGCTGAGGATTAGCAGTAACAGCTGCTATCCTGCCCGTTAGAAGAGAAACAGAAGAGAGAACAAAAGACTTGTTTAAAGGATGTGTCTCTGCAACTCTGAGGGGGGAAGCCAGTCCATCAAGCCTGAAGGTAAGTGGATGTTTTCCTGGTTCTGGTAGACTAGGGCTGGTGGGAAAGCAGAAACCTCAAGATTTAAGGAGGGGAGGGTGGGATTTGTGGGGCGTGGCTCTTACCCCTCCCCCCTGTATGTGTCTGTGTTTGATCTGATTTGAGGAGAGGAGACCAACTTCTGCCATCAACAAAGCCTCCAAGGACATTTCCTTGTGGTCCTTCTGGGAGAAAATGGAAAAGCCCTGGGTCCCCTCAACTTAGAATGTGTTTTTACAGTTCATTGTTCATTACCTCTGAATGTCCCTGGGAAACTGTAGGAATGGTCCCTTGTGGGGAGAGGTTTTTTACTTTTTTTTTTTTTGCCTCATGGAAAGCAAACCAGCAGAGAGTTATTGTCTGAAGGACTCTTAGGTCCAAAAAGATTGGAGTTATAGGTCACCGTCCTGTCTCCTTGTATCTGGTCAGTGTAAGAGGCGGGGTGGTGGTGGGTGAAGACAGGATGGGGGTAGATGACATTGGATTATTTGGTTGTATGGATTATCTCCTTAGCCACTGCTTTTATAGCTGCTTTCGCTACATTCAAAGTATTTTATTTTTACATTTTAAAACTAGCTTATTAGAGAGGAGGGTTGTTGTTGCCTTGCATTGCTCCTTAGATCAACATATTAGATGAACTTCTGAAAATTCCACGTATGTAAAAATATGAAAAGGAACAACTCCTTTTTAAAAATGCCTAACAGTCCTAAATGTTTATTCAGAGGGCTTTCACCTGTTATATTTGCTGTCTCTCACATTATTCTCCTCTGAGAACTTCTTTTACACAGTCAACTTCTCATTCTTTCTGTCTGTGACATTAGAGCTAGCAAACAAAAGTGAAACTTAGTCTCTAAATGTTATTTTATCCAATCATTTTATTCTATTCCTGAGCCCCGCCCCCCCTCCAGTAAATTTAACAAGGTGCACAGTGGATGGGCTTGGGTGTAACTTTCTCTGCTCATCTTCTCTGTGAAAAAGTAGTGAAGTAACTAAACAAGTCAGTAAGAGGAAGGACAAGAAAATACCAAAGTGTTGCAAATTTAACAATTGCCTCTAAGTAATTAATTCATAGTTGGCAGAAATTTTGTATCATTCAACTCTCTACTTTGCAATTGTAGCAATAAAACATTAAGCCAAGCCACCATATGCCTTGCTGCCTGCCCATACTGGAATACTGGGTGTCTCACTTCACCAATAATGTATTATCGCTCACACAGCCCTTGGATATCAGACAGCTTGTAAAGAGTCACATCAGGATACAAATATTTTCTGGTCTTATTTCTTTGACTTAATTAAATCCTCTTTAAAAAGAAGCAGTCTGGTCTTATGAGAGAATTATAAGATGAGAGGTTTTTTGTTTTGTTTTTAAAGTGTTTAGAAATTGAAATACTTCCTACAGTCTGGAACGTCTTTTTGATCTTGACCTTGAGCCCTTGCAATCTGGGGAGGCAGCATAGCAGTATCTCAGGTTTAAAGGCATTGTATATTCAGATCAGTCACATTCAAAAGGACGTCATATCGTTTTCTTAAACAGCATCTGGCTTGAAGCTGTTGAAAAGGGCAGGATGTGGGTCTTGGCCGCCCTCGGAGGCTGGTCTTGTGTGGCCCTCTGCCTGGCTTCCTGCTCAGCTGCCTTTTCCCATGGTGCTGGCTCAGGGGCCTGTGAGGATATGCAGCCCAAGCACATTCAAGCCCAGCCTCAGGACCCACAGACCCACCACATCACCATTCACACCGGCAGGTCTTCCTACTCACCGGGTGACACAGTTCCAGGTATGTATGGGAGAGGCTTTGAAAGACCCCCCCTGGGCCCTCCTGACAAATTCCAAGCTGTGTTTGTCCCAAGCAGGAGTTTCCTCCGTTAAAGTTCGACTTAATCCTAAGAAGCAGTTATTTAGCCCAAGATAAGCATGAAATATTTGTATCACGAGAACCGCATAACTAATCTGTATATTGATATTCATTTTTACAAGAAGGCACAAATAGCATTATTATAAAAAAATGATCTGTCCTTCTTATAAGATATAAATATAATTATCCTGAACAAACTTCATGTATTGTGTGTGTGTGTGTGTGTGTGTGTGTGTGTGTATGAACTAGGCTTTTGTTTCTCATTATTTAAAACTAAAGTTATTTGCAGAGTGAAGAGTATTTCCTGCTATTTTAGTTTGGGTGCCTGGAAGAGCAGAGAGAGAACTTGAGGGCAGGTAGTTTATTTGGGAGGTGATTGCAGGAAGTACAGACGAAGAAAGGGAGACAGGGAAGAGAGAGACACCAATAAGAAGGGTGAGATTGGGCAGGTCACTGCTTTGGGCAACTGGGGCTCAATTCCAGTGGGGACCCTCTGAGAAACCATGTGAAACATGCCTCTGAATCATCTCTCAGGAGGATGGAGGGGCTGGGGCATTTAGGGGTGGAGGGGAGCATCCCCACCACACACACACACACACACACACACACACACACATTTTAGAGTCCTGCCTGCTTACCTTACCTTGGATCAAGCTCCCAGCAGAAGAAGCGAGAAGAAATCTCCAGGTACCGAGGGTGGTAGCTGAGCACAGACCGAAAAACGTCTGTGCAGCCATGCATGAACTCAACCACATCAGCGGTATTGGCTCGACCCCCTTTGGACTTTGCTAAATTCTTTTGATGGCAGTTAGAGGTGATAAGTTCAAATAAAATTTACTCTGTAAGTATCGTTTTCCCCAATCATTCTGTTCTGTTGTTAAGTGTGGGGAAAAGCTATGTGGGTATATATTGGCCCCCACAGCAATATACTCCCCAAACTGAAGTTCAGGCTATTCCAACAGAGCTTCCCAAATTTTGGCACATCACGATACAGCGAGGAAATGATAATATGTGTAGAGCATGCTGGGGCAGATGCAAGGAGCTCCTGAAAGCTGGAGGCAACTTCTCTGGGGGCTCCAACCACCACAGTAGGCACCCAGGCACCCCGGCACGACAGGATCAATATGTCAGCACCCCCGTGTTCTGTGGCTAAGGGAATGAAAATGGTAAGAATCAAAGCACTGTATTTGGGAGAAAAAACTGTAAAAATGACCCAAAATATTGTGACACCCGAATTCTAATAAAAAACCTGAAGGAAGCATAATTGGATTGTGACTGGAACTAAGACAACATACATAATAAAGAGCTGGAGGGAGCCCTTCCTGGATTCAGTGAGGGTCAGTTACTACTTTATTGTGCTGGGATTACACAGTTTTCTTTTCTTTTCTGGGATATCACTAATTTGTGAGCTCCTTGAAGGTAAGGACCATGTTATCCTGTTCATGGATGTATGCTCAATGCCTAGCACAATGCCCAGTTTGAAGTAATAACTAAATACTTGTACAAATGTTTATTAATGAAAGTTCAAATGCATGGAAAATAAAATGATCACAGACACTAAGCTGCATTTAGCAAGCCTATAAAGTTATGACCCTGGTTTTAGCTACTCATTTAATTACAAATGAGTTTGCCATATTATTTATGTCTGTAAGAAAAATTCCTGCAGGTGAAATTGCTAGATCAAAGGGAAACTGCATTTCTGGGCTTTTTTGGTGTGTATTAAAAATATATATATATATATTTATATAACATAAAATTTGCCATTCTGATTGACAATTCAGTGACATTAAGTTCATTCACAATGTTGTACCCCATCACCATTATCCATTTCCAGAACTTTTTCTTTATCTCAAGCAGAAGCTCTGTACCCATTAAATAATAATCTCCATCCCTCTCTCCTCCCAGACCCTGGTAATCTCTATAATCTTTCTGTCTTTATGATAACTTACCTGCTCTAGGTATCTCACGTAAGTGGAATTGTGCAATATGTCATTTTATATTCAGCTAATTTCACTTACTGTAATGTTTTCTAGGTCCTTCCATGTTGTAGCATGTATTAGAAGTAACTGCATTTTAAATATGGAAAATATTATTAGGTTACCCCCTCAAAGAGTTGCATGGCTTATAGTTCTAGCACTAGTGAATGAGTGTCCTAGTTTTTCCACAGGGCTATCAATACTGGTTATAATTTCACATTTTAAAATTTGTTAATATGATAGGTATACTGTCTCATACTTGTTTTTTAAATCATGATTTTTTTATTTCAAGTTTTTATTTAAACTCTAGTTAGTTAACATATGGTTAAATTGGTTTCAGGTGTAGAATTTAGTGATTCATCACTTACATATAACACTCAGTGCTAATCACAAGTGCCCTCCTTAATAAATCATGATTGACCTTATTTTATTTTCTGTTTGTGTCCTTTGATAATTTTGGGTTGGTCACCTTTTTATTGATTCACCATTACTCTTTGTGTATTTGTCTGTTTTGTATCTTTACAAATATTTTTCTCGGTTTATAATTTGTCTTTGGATTTCTTCTATAGTCACAATATTTTTAAATCATCCTTTCCTTTAGGCAATTGGGTTTTTCTTAGAAAGGCATTCTGAACTACCATATTTTTTAAAAACCATGTTTTTCCTAGTGTTTTTTTTTTTGTATTTCATTTTGACATGACTTTGATCTAAATGGAATTTACTTTGGGTGTGAAATAGCACTTCAACTATTTTTTTCCCCTAATTAATTTTTTACTTTCTGGGTGCTTGTCTAGGCTTTTAGTTTTGAAAATACCCATATAAAAATCACCAAATGGAACCACATCAAGAGGGCTCACCTCGAATGGATGTTTTCTGTTGCAGTGACCATGAGGAGCATTCGAGATTTCATGGGATTTCTACTTCAGGCTCGAAGAGTATCTGATCATCAAATAGCTGGCACTTTTGTTTTCATTCCTCCTCATTCCAAAGCAATGGCTTGTTTTCAAGAGGCTGACACAGTCACGCACTCTGACAAGTCCCGGAAGAGAAACCTGTCCTTTGAGTGGAAGGCCCCTGCTCAACCTGTGGGGAACATCACATTCCTGTAAGAGCCAGGGCAGTGCTGCTTCCTGGTAATGGAGCCTTACACTCTGAAGAGAAGGAGCTTCTCCACCCCCTTCCTGCATGCTTCAGCCCCTACCTCCAGCCACCTCATGACAAAGACAGAGTCACGAGGACTGCCCCAACTAGACAGTCTATAAAGAGGGTAACCAAAAAAGAAGTTACCCCCAGTCCCCTCTTTGTCATTATCCACAGTTCAGGGGTACATGATTTCCCCTCCTCTCTGGGCACAGATGCATCTTGACCAACCTCTCCAGGAAATTCTGACCAGAGGAAAAAGAAGGACCATGGGAGAGTAGGGAAAACTGAGAAAGACAGAGGCTGAGGCAGACAGAAAAGTAGACACTTTCTTGGGCCCAGCGAAAGCCCCTGAGGTCTCTTTGCCTTGGCTTGTGGTCTATCAGAGGGCCGATGACTTAACCAACTGAGCCACCCAGGAACCCCTAAATTAATCACATTTTTATAACTGCCTTCTGAATATTTAAACTAGGAAAAATGATTCTAGCTGATAATCCCTACCTCAGTGAAATTGGGGGAGGATAAATGAGATAATGTTTGTGAAAGGGATTTTTACTAAAGAAAGCCATTAAGTACTCAAAATACCAGTTAGAGTACCAACAATTTATCTCTAATTTTCAATGGAATCTACAATTACAACAGAGCTGTACAATTGTACAACAGAATTATGAAATTTTCAATTAACAGAGTAATTCAATTAACAATATACCAGCAATGGCTAATAATAAAGTTGAAGACGGAACCTTTTGAGTCTGAACAGTTCAAGAAGATACCTTTTAATCAAAATGAGGTTTTCTAATGACTGTATTTATTTAGGAGGGGAATTTAGACCTATCCTTCCCTGTTTTAATTATTTGCCACAGTTGAGTTTTGGTTTCTAAGGAGAGTGGAGTCACCCCAAGGGCAATATGATCATCTCTTCAGCTTTCTGTTCATGTAGCCTTTTGTTCTTCTTCAGGTGTTATTTAAGGGAAACCAAACCCTCGCATCATTTTGCTTTCTTTTTCCACAGTTTGTCAGTTGTCCAGTCATAGTTCATTTACTGGGAGAGGATCGAATCATCTGTTGTGTCTCAACAGACACACCGCGGAGCCCACGTTGATGGCGGCGAGCAGCCCGGCTCACCGATGCCAACCTCTGGCTGGAGGCGGGAGGGAACCACCCCAGGTACAGCTTGCTGTGGGACTCAAGAGCCTGGTTGGCATTATTATGGGAGGGAGAGGGAGAAGCAGGCTTCCCGCGGAGCAGGGAGCCCCATGCAGGACTCGATCCCAGGACCCCGGGATCATGACCTGAGCTGAAGGCGGGCGCCTAGCCGACTGAGCCACCCAGGAGCCCCTAAATTAATCACATTTTTATAACTGCCTTCTGAATACTTACACTGGGAAAAATGTTATTTTCCCTTAGAAGTTCCCTTAGAAGCCAGTTCTAGTTCCTGCAACACAAGCACTAAACACCTGCTTTGGCCAGCTGCAGCAGCTCACGGCCAAGGGCAGGAGGGGATGCTTGCTGTTGCTGTTTGTCTGCTTCAACCTCACAAATTATGGGGGGGCCCTGTGGTGGAGAGTTGGATTCTGTCACAAATCCAAACAAAAGCAACCCCCCCCCCGAATCCCACACTTACCAATCATCACAACGCCTCAGCAGGGTTCTTCAGACCCCTGGAGCTCCACACGGAGCACAAGAAAGAGAGGATCTTTTCTTCTTTGTATATAAAAACTCGTCCAGCTTTCATTGTTACTTTCCATGGTAGGTAGATGGCTCTTTGCAACCTGGGTTGGAGAAAGGAATCAGGAATGAGAGGCTGTTTTGATGGCAATGGAGTTTTTCCTGGTTCACTACATAACATGAGACTCCTTTGGTCCGTGAACTTCTGCAACAAAACATAAGAGAACACAGTGAGAATACAGCTACAGAATACAGTGGTCACCTGAAAATTCCTGGGGATATGGAACTCATTTCCATTATTGATCTCTAGTTAAGTGCTCTGAACAAATGCACTCATAGAGGCCACCTGCACAGAAGCTCCCATCTTTAATCCTTTCAATTCCACTTTCCTTGACTCTGTGCTTTGCTCTTGGCCAACGTGCTAATGCCCGACTTGGCTCAGTCTAGCAGACCCAGGCACAGAGCTTACCCTGGGCCATTCTCCCTACTCTGCCCATGCCCTGAACTGTCTTCTGCCCACTGCCCAGCACCACTCCCCCAACCTTCCCACCAAGATACTCCTAAAAGCAGAGTCAAGACCTCAGGGTCTGACAGTGTGGCCTGGAGAAGACCCTGCAAACCCATGGTGTTTTATTTTCTTAATCATGCAAATGTTGCATTTTAATCCCAAGCATGTTTGTTTTAATATGAATATGACTAAAAGTGGGGTGTCAGGAAGTGACATCATGTTGTCCCTGCAGTCTATCTTGGGGCCCTGCTGGGAACCTTGTCCCCCACGGGGTGACAGATTCTCGTCTGGGCAGCTCCTGGGTAAACTCCTCATGATGCTGCTGTACGCATTCCTGCCCTCCTGGCCCAGCCTGTTTTCCTGCCCATTCCTCTGCACAAACCCCAGGGTTTCTCAAACAAAAAGGGAGTGTGTGTGTACATATGCAGTGTGATGGGGGGGTGGAGGAGGGAGGGGTGGAGAGGATGTCATCTCCAAAGTGAAATAGATTTCTTAAGTGTAAGAAGACTGCAGTGGGCAAATTATGAATTATGAATTTTCACATTAGGCAGATAGTATATTGTACTTCTCAAACTTATTTCCCAATAGACACGTTGGGGTCTACCCAACCCCATTAGGCATGATCTCCATGTTTTGCCTTCTGACACTTCCTCAAAGTGGGCTGTTCCTCCTGATGATCTATTTATCTTTCAAGGGGAGGTTCCAATATCTCCTTTGTGAGACTTTCCCCCATGCTTCTTGGGAGGCAAATGTAATTGCCTTCTCAGTTCTGGATTTAAAGCTCTCATCACACTGTCATCTGTAAGGTTGGGCATCTAAGAGTCTCTCCTTCTAGATTTTGAGTTCAGGAACAACAAACGGCCACTACGCAGCCCTTCTGCATCCCCAGCATTCACAGAAATGCCCATCATACAACAAGTCTGCGGGGAATGTCCGAATGCATTTTGAGTTCGGGCGGGAGTTTAAGACTGTCGAGCTTTTGCCACATTCTGTGTGTACGTTAGGCTTCTTTGTTTTTCACTTCAATCTCAATGTTTCTGAGTGACGAAGGCTTTGGAGAAGAGTGGCACTAAAAGAAAAAGAAATGCATTCCAACCCAGTTAGAGCCCTGGTCAGAGAAACCTCCACTAATGTGTTTCTCTGCAAACACCATCATTGTCATCCTAAGGTTATCATGGTAAACCCTCATTGCATGTTCACCTGTGCCAGCCACTGTGCTCTATGCTTCTACATCAGTGATTTTATTTCACCCTTCAGCAGCTCTAGGCTGTAGGAACCATTATTGGTCCCATTTTGGAAAAGAAGAAACTGATGCTCTGGGAGGACTTGCCCCAAACCAGGAGTTAGCGGAATGGAGAGTTGAACCCAAACAGTCATCTGACTCCAAAACTGGTGCTTGCTTATTTGCTGCACTGTTTCTAATTTCTATTTCTAAAGTTCTGGGCTGTCATGTTGGCCAGTCACGGATGGAAAATGAGATGGTGGAGGGCAGTGGAGGGCAGTGATCTTGACTCTGCCCATGGCAGAGGCTCAAGTCATTATCATCACCAGGGAGACTTTTACTGTTAATAATATGGCAGGAAAGATCTAGGACTTTCAAAAATCTTTGATTTGTGGGATTCTGATTTTATTTTGTTTTGTTTTGTTTTTCTAGCTAGAAGCAGTTTTTGGCAGAGGTAAGAAAAAAAACATAGTGGTCACAGGGATTTCTAAACTCCCCTGAGTGGTGACTGTTAAGAATGCACAAGTCCAGAGGGTCAGAGACTTACTATTTACAAAGGTGTTAGAAATCGAGTCCTTTGCCACTTGGTCAGGGGCTTATCTTACTGGGCAGATCATCTTTTTGTTGATACTTTTGAGTAACCCAAACTTAATGGTTTGTCCTAAAGGCACGTTAAAGTCTCTAATATTTACCCCATTACCATAGTTGTTTGTGCTAATCAATACAAGGAAAATGCTCTCACTCTCTTTTGTGGTGTCTTTGGATCTCCGTTTAGCTCCCAGTCCCCCCAGCGCTCTTCCCCAGCAGCGTGCGAACATCTTTGCTGTTGCCCCAACTGGAGCTGCAGAGGAGAACAGCTTAGATCCTTTTCCTGTAAGTTTTTGGGTGACAGAGTTTTCTGGGGATGCAGAGACTCTGTTCCAATCATCTTCACACATGGCTACTGCAGTCAGCAATGGCCAGCAACTCAGAGGGGACAGCAACCCAATCCTAGAACCATCCCTGGATATCCGTGGGCTGGAGAGATTCATGGCTCTCAGGAGATTCTTCCCAGAGGGCATTGCTTCCAGCCCTAGAACCCACCTCAGGTAATGGGTCAGGGGTAGACCATTCAGTATGGTGGTGGGATAAGCCAGACCCTGGGGTGCTGAGGGAATCTAAACTTCTTGGCATCTAACAGCAAATGATCTCACCATATTTATTCTTAAGTGCACAAGAAACCCTGATTGTAGAAGGGCTACTGGCCAAAAGGGCTGGGTATGAAAATCACCTGGGGAAACTGTACTTTCTTGGATAGGGTGAGATCTCTGATATGCTGATATAAATAAAATCAGATATAAATATATGTTTTATAGAGGGGTGCCTGGGTGGCTCAGTCATTAAGCATCTGACTTCGGCTCAGGTCGTGATCTCAGGGTCCTGAGATCGAGCCCCGCATCGGGCTCTCTGCTCAGCAGAGAGCCTGCTTCTCCCTCTCCCACTCCCCCTGCTTGTGTTCCCTCTCTCGCTGTGTCTCTCTGTCAAA